TATTGGATATTTGCTGGGCATGTGTTTATTGTCAGTGTCTCCATCTTCCAATTGTCTTGTCTTCTAGGGGTGTATTTTCTTAAATTACAATATAAATAATACTTGTATTCATGTGTTTATTTCAGTTTTCACCTGTTCCTTTGGAGTTGAGTCATTAAATGAAGGGGAAGACATCTCTGCGTCACCGTGTCCATTCCAGCACATACACATTAGTGACATCACTGCCATTTGGAATGATGATAGTGCGACATACCCTGTCAAGCTAAAGGGCTTGCCATACCGAGTTCAATTTGCTAAGCCAAACTGTGCTATTCCTGTGCCGAACTTTAAACAATTTGATTACTTGAGTTCAGCACGTCAGTAGCATGGTGTATAGCCTAGCCCAAAGTTACCATTACTATCAACTTCAAAAACATTGCCATGTTAAAATTTTATCTCAAATTAAGCCAATTTCAACAAATCTTGCATTGAATGCCCCGTTTATCGTTTTGCATGGTTTTTAACCCTTCGCGCCAGGATGTGGCTAGAGCCGCCGTAAAAATTGAGATCCTCAGCCCGCTTTTCAACTATTATTCTCGGCCCACGCTCAAGCGAATACGGTGAAAGAAGGCAGACCCTGGCTCTTGTATAAATGGTGATTGGCCTTTGTGTGTAGCCCAGAAATGAAAAGACTGACTTTGCATCATAATCACCAGCTTCACAATAGTCCCTGCTTTGAAAAGAGGCAACAGGAACGTGGAAGCATGAGTAGAGCTGCATGCCACCGAACAATCAGCCTTTTCACTGTGTAATTCAGGGCCACAAACCGAGCATTTGCAATTTGGCAGGTTGCCTTCGTGGCCAAGCGAGGCTGGAATTCTTGGAGTCGGCTTTTGGAAAGAAATTCCGGTCATCAAGGGGTTAAATGAAAGCAATACAGTACACTGTACCCTTTCCTTTTCTAGTGACATTTGCATTGTCAGCCTACAGCTAGCAGTACATGTCCATATACTTCCATTTGAATATTACAACCACACTGTATATTTGTGTGCTGTATACTTTCCTTCACTAACATGTTCATTTAATGCTGAACAGAGACTATTTCTGATTTTTTATTTTTAATTCTGATTTTTTATTTTAATACAATATAACTTACAATCAAGATCACAATGAAGAACCAAAACCACAAAAGTTAGGTTGGAATTAAATATGACCAGCCAAAAAAATCAGCTAGTTTCTTGCCACTATAAGCATGTCTTTCAAGTGCCATACCCAGGCCACAAATTCAAGAATGAGGCAATTTTTTGCAGTTCTCTGCAGGATGCCATGAAATATTGTCATGTGCACTTGAGTACACATGAGAATGTGCGCATGTGTTCTCATACATGTATGTGACTTACTTCCTCATCTTTCCTTTTAGCATGTCCATCTTGAGACAAGATTGCTGGTTGCACAGCTATTGAAGTGGGAACATCAGGACTTTCAGCAAGAGGATGTGGCAGTACATGTATGCCTTTAGAACTGTGGATAGTATATACAATTATCTTTAGTTCACAGACATAAAAATAATAGAACAGTAGAGCCAGTTATGTTCTTTTTCAAAAATGGGTATTTTCCGTTTCACCAAATCCCGAATTCTGCTTCAGAAATTCAAATTCTGTACCTTATTAAGCATGAAAACGGAGAGCAAGTTTTAAAACTATGCATGGAAACCCAATCATATATGTACTTCCCCAAACAAAAGAAAAAAAAACATATTATTTGGAAATACTCTGCAATGTTTCCCACTTTTCAAAAATATATCCTGTAGTAAAAAGTTGAAAAAATCCACACAAAAAATATGGTATCCCCCACCCCATGACTTCCCACCAAAGCGATTGTCAAAAACTTGCTACGATTGATCAACGGACAATTCATGTGTCACTCCGAATGTATAAAATCAAATTACATTTAAATACATGTACAGTGTACATGTACAGTGAAGTCATAGAGTATGTCTTGAATGCAACAGTCGTTGATCACAATATGTTAATGTTGGACATCGACCCGCCATTTTATTTGGCAGAAGTGCAAAAACATTCAGAAAGTTAACACTAAATCTGAGCCTTAAAATGCATGCTTACGACTGAAAACTTTGCTCTTTGTTGAACACTTCTGAGGACCCATTCAGTCCAAGCTTACTAGGATTCATTTCATTCAAGAAATGCCGCGATTTCATCGTTTCACCATGTGGTACTAGCCTTGTTTCAAGGCATCTATGTGGATTCACAGACTGAATTCTCCACACGTGCAACAAGCATACTTGTATATGTATGAACTTGATTTCAATACTAGTACAATGCACTTGTGTATATGTACTGTACCATGCCGCTGTGCTACATGTAGCTGCCGCTGCCCGCTTGAGGCTCACGCAATGCCACAGCATTTGCAAGTATCGGTACCGGAGCGGAAGACCTAATCATGTGGTGGAGTGGTACAATTTAACATGTTTCCAGCATAATTTGTTTATTAAAAGCAAGCATTTTAAAAGGGTTTGGTTGGCATTTATTTGTGGTTCTTTGCGGAAAGTTTTTCTTAGTTTTGAAGCCATTCAAGGAGGGAAATTTGCAAGTTCCGCTTCCAGCAGTGATTTCTATTTCAAAGTGTTGATTCTGCAAAGTCTGTCCATTTTCCACGATAGCGGAAAATCATTGGCTCTAGGGTAGTAAACACAACTTTAACCCTAACAGTCCCAAATCCTCTAATTTCAATATGATTTTACATACACCCTTGGGGTTAGGGTTAACAATGCAAAATCAGGATAATCACAGTGAGAACATCTTGAAAAATTATGTTGAGTTACTTCTGTCAATGCTTACTTACAAGAAAATGCTGTTAATATTTCCTATTACAGATCTCTCAGGAGAATTAAAAAAAAGTTATCTTCTGAGCTTCAGGGAAACGCCCTTGGTCCATCTGTCATGAGCAATCATGGTATGACTGCACACAAGCCTGACATGAATTCAAGGATGCTTGGAGATTATTTCAACTGTTTGTGGGGTTGGGTTAGGTTTGGTTAAGTTGGGTTGGGTTGTGTTGGACTCACAAGTTTCTTCCTTTCACTTAGTTTTGTTATTCTTCAGGAATATCCACTGACTGCCAGAGTGCTTTTGTGAAGTACATGTATACAAGTTGTCAAAGTAATTCTTTTGTTATTCAGTGTGTTGTGTAATTAAATTTGGAACTAGCCTTGTGCAAGCCGGGAAATCCATTGGTTTCTTCTGAATTGTCATGGCATTCAGTTACCCAGGGTTTCCAATAACTTTTTTAACTACATGGCAACCAGACCAGTAGAGCCACATCTTGACTGGCCTGCCAAGGTTTTGACTGGTCCTCAGGCCAAGGTTTTGACTGGTCCTCTATTTTTTTTTGCACCAAAATCTGAAATTTCCTCAAGCTACATGTATATCAGGTGTGAGTGGAGCATTAAAAATAGCTGAAATTGCAAAGTGAAGCATACGGTGTACGGTCTGGGGCCCACATGATGGCCCCAGGAAAATTTGGAAATGTTGAGGCTCTCTGATGCATTTCAAAGCCTCTCGATGCAATCTCATTTTTTTCTTGCATAAGCATATTTTCAATATAATTTTTCCTTCATATTTGCCTGAAACTTCCTGAAGCATAAAATGAATTGGCATACCAAAATGTAAATATCAAGGTTTGTGGAGTGAGTTGGCCCTTTTAGGTCTTGTCAAAGATCAAATCTAAGTAAGAGCCCCTTTGGACAATTATAGACTTGTGTTATACTGACATTTTTATGAGTTTATGTCCAAAAATTGTGAAATCTTGTATAAAACAATGCACAGAGCATGTAAAAACTGCATGATAATGCATGACACAAGAACTTTGCCCCGCACCAGTTGTCATGAAACCCTCCATCAGAAAAAAAGAAAATTTAATAACATTTTAAGCCACAAATTTAAGGTAAACTGTGTACTTCTGCAAGTCATAGATGAGATTATTGGTCAATTTTCCGCTGATAAAGGAACGGCTGTAACAAGTCCCACTGACACATATATATGAATATTGATATTTCACTGGCAACCAATCACAACAAAATGACAGGATGGTCTAGGGATGCTGTTTACACACAAGGCTTGTGCTTTGAGCCATGCTGAAAAATGCCCACACAGATACACGTGTATGCTGGTATTATGTACTGTATATGTACACTCAGTCACGTGCATTATGTGTCAGAAATAAGAGGACATGCTGCCGGCACCCCTCTTCTGTTATTTTGACTGGTCTGCCAGACCACTTCTACAAGGGTTTGACTGGTCCGCAGACGTTTTGACCTGCATTTGGCCACCGACCAGCATTATGTTCAATACCTGGTGTTTATAGGAATGTGAAACCAATGAATTGAAGCCAACACCCAACTGAAAACCATAGTGGTGGTCATCAGCATGCAAAGTTTTTTAAAGTCGGACTCAAGAGCTAGTGTTTCTATTGCATCACAGCAACTCAATGACTCATCTGATGATCCAGTTTATATTCCAATAATGTATAATTCAGTGGATTTTAACGGCATCAGTTCAACACCTGATATATCAAGAATTGATATTAGCTTGTGTCGGCTTTGCATGATAATGTTGCACGCAAACTTGCAAAGCACTGAATATAACCTTTAAAAAATGCTTGGTATTATCATGTGTGCTAGGTAACTACACGTATTTGTAAATATTTGTGGGATGTATGTACAGACAAACCTACATAAGATATACTTTGAATAACTCACATTGTTGCAGCCTTTGCATACTATGTAAGCAACATATGTTGAAACATCTTCATGTATGCTAACAGTATTGACAAGTCTCTAACACCAGCATCAACGCCTGTTGGTTTATGGGTGTAATTTTCTACTCCCCCTACATGCTGTAGAAATGACATTCAACAGACTGGCAAACACTTGGTAGTCTTGTTCAACTTTTTTTGTGACTACAACTGATAAAAGCCATGCGAATTGAAACTGGATGTTCTTTTTGGGTGCCAACCAAGTCTGCCTTGGCTTCTCAACTCATTTGCTCTTCTTTATCTCCCAACTTTTTCTAGTGGTCTACATTTTTTCTTGTTCACTGTACACTGTCACAAATGGCATACCTTTCTTTTTGGACAGAGGATTCTGCATATCCAGAAAGGACCGTCTGACCTGTACTTGGTGCCTGTGAAGCTTTAATGTCATCAAAGTTCTCATATTTCAAAGCTTGCACAAGTTGCAGAAGGTACAGTAACAGTTCCTGAATGTTCAGAGGGGTACAGAATACTACATGTAAGTCATCATTCAAAAAGAAAAGTGATTTAACCAGATCCCAAAACTGACAAGAATTCATCAACCTAATACAATTCTAACTTAAATAACAGATTCCATGGCATAGTAAGGTTTTCTCTTGATTTGATCAGCAAGTCTTACAAGAGATGAAATTATCAGTTACCTCATCATCAGCCTCTTTGAGTCTGCTAACAGCATACTTCCTGACTGTTGGGTTCTTGAACTGCGGCGACAGTAGTTCTAAGGCATCAGCAACATCAATGGGATTCCATTTCCTCAGGAGTTCAAGGGCTTGTCTTGCCTCATGGGGAACATCCCAGTTAACACACTTCAGGAACTTTGTCAATGCGGGCTTCTGGTTGGTCAGGTAGAACCTGAATTTCCACACAAGGTCAGCCTCTTCAGAGGACAGTACTTTTGTTGGATTGTAGGCAACTATACTCTGATAGACAAACGTATAAAATACAGTGAATGTTATTTAACATCAAGTGCTAAATTAATCAAAAGCATAGAGAGAGTTTAAGCAAATTTGGAGTAAATGCACATTTCAAGCACTTTGGTCCCTGTTTAGTGTTTAGGTGATATTAAAAGTCATGGTGCACTCCAGCAAAATTCATCATTTGTTTCCCCTGGTTCAATCACTCTCATCTGTCTGCAAGACTTCTGATCATTGCCAACCAACAATTCTTTACTGGTTACAGGACAGTTTGGTCCTATTTAAAAATACAAAGTCTGACCAGGTTCCACAGAGGAAATAAGAATGTATCGATCTAAATGGTTATCACTTACTGCCAGGGATTCTGACATTTTTTCACTCTCAAAAGTGGAGATAATCCAGCCTTGTTTCGAAACAGTATACCACGTTTGGTGAATTTAGAGTGGGCGGATTACCACTGGGGACAAAGCGCTCCACCACCGCAGTGATGAGCCACACAGCACCGCTGCACACTAACCTGGCCCCTATTGACAGGAAGTCAGCAGCGCACTGAGCCAGGTTCGTGAACAAAAGAAAATTATATAACACCGCACAATCTGGGATCTTTTTACAAGGCTGCAGGCCTGGCTGAAAATTTTTAAAGAATTCAGAAAACAAAAAAATGATAAATATCCCGCCCAAGAATCATCAACATTGATAACTACCCCGGCAGGAAGTGGTTAAGTTTATAGTGTAAGTTTCTATACAGTGCTACACAAAGCACAATGATCTGCATTCCTAACAGAAGCCAGGGCATTTCAGATGATCAATAGGCTTTTTCAATATGACAATATTCATTGATATCAAAATATTTTTTTTCATATTGGAAATCATACAGGACGTTCTCACTGGCATATTGGGGAATTCAATATGCCTTAAAGAGTTCAAATCTTTGTGCCATGCCAGCCAATCACCAAGACAATATCATGAATCTTTGCACTGCTCTGCCTAATTGACAATCGAAGCCTTTAAGCTGTTTTTTGACGACGTTCTCTACAACAAGATAGAGAGACCAAACGGTATGCAGAGGCCCGCTGCGACATCAGCACACATGC